TGATAAATTTCCCATTTTTGTGATAAATTCCCATTTCTGTTATAATTTTCCCAATTTTGGGCTTTTTCGCCCCATTTCTGTGATAAATTCCCCATTTTTGTGATAAATTTCCCATTTTGGTGATAATTTTCCCAATTTTGGGCTTTTTCACCCCATTTTTTCTGATAAATTCCCCATTTTTTGTGATAAATTCCCATTTCTGTGACAATTTTCCCAATTTTGGGCTTTTTCGCCCCATTTTTTGTGATAAATTTCCCATTTTTGTGATAAATTTCCCATTTCTGTGATAATTTTCCCGATTTCGGGCTGTTTCGCCCCATTTTTTGTGATAAATTTCCCATTTTTGGGCTGCTTTCCCCCATTTTTGTGATAAATTCCCCATTTTGGTGATAATTTTCCCGATTTTGGGCTTTTTTGCCCCATTTTTTGTGATAAATTTCCCATTTTTGTGATAAATTCCCATTTCTGTTACAATTTTCCCAATTTTGGGCTTTTTTGCCCCATTTTTGTGATAAATTCCCATTTCTGTTACAATTTTCCCGATTTTGGGCTTTTTTGCCCCATTTTTGTGATAAATTCCCATTTCTGTTACAATTTTCCCAATTTTGGGCTTTTTTGCCCCATTTTTGTGATAAATTCCATTTCTGTTACAATTTTCCCGATTTTGGGCTTTTTCGCCCCATTTTTTGTGATAAATTTCCCCATTTTTGTGATAAATTCCCATTTCTGTTATAATTTTCCCGATTTTGGGCTTTGTCACCCTATTTTTGTGATAAATTTCCCATTTTTGTGATAAATTCCCATTTTTGTGATAATTTTCCCAATTTCGGGCTGTTTCGCCCCATTTTTGTGATAAATTTCCCATTTTTGGGCTGCTTTCCCCCATTTTTGTGATAAATTCCCATTTCTGTTACAATTTTCCCAATTTTGGGCTTTTTCGCCCCATTTCTGTGATAAATTCCCCATTTCTGTGATAAATTCCCCATTTCTGTGATAATTTTCCCAATTTTGGGCTTTTTCGCCCCATTTTTTGTGATAAATTCCCATTTCTGTGACAATTTTCCCAATTTTGGGCTTTTTCACCCCATTTTTTCTGATAAATTTCCCATTTTTTGTGATAAATTCCCATTTCTGTGACAATTTTCCCAATTTTGGGCTTTTTCGCCCCATTTTTGTGATAAATTTCCCATTTTTGTGATAAATTCCCATTTTTTGTGATAAATTTCCCATTTCTGTGACAATTTTCCCAATTTTGGGCTTTTTTGCCCCATTTCTGTGATAAATTTCCCATTTTTGTGATAAATTCCCATTTTGGTGACAATTTTCCCAATTTCGGGCTTTTTTGCCCCATTTTTTGTGATAAATGCCCCATTTTTGGGCTGCTTTCCCCCATTTTGGTGATAAATTTCCCATTTCTGTTACAATTTTCCCAATTTTGGGCTTTTTTGCCCCATTTTTTGTGATAAATTCCCCATTTTTGGGCTGGTTTCCCCCATTTTTGTGATAAATTCCCATTTCTGTTATAATTTTCCCAATTTTGGGCTTTTTCGCCCCATTTCTGTGATAAATTTCCCATTTTTGTGATAAATTCCCCATTTTGGTGACAATTTTCCCAATTTTGGGCTTTTTCGCCCCATTTTTGTGATAAATTCCCATTTCTGTGACAATTTTCCCAATTTTGGGCTTTTTCGCCCCATTTCTGTGATAAATTTCC